CCGAGCCGGGGGGGCGGACGGGGCAGACCCGCGTCTCCCCGGGCCCCGGGGGCGTCCCGCCGCCCTCCTTACCTCCGCCATGGGGCAGCCGCCGCCCCATCCTCCTCCTCCTCCTCCCGCGGCGGGGCCGGGGGCGGCTCCCCCGGACGGGGCGGGCAGGACCGGGCGCCTCCGCTCGCCCCGGGGCCGAGAGCCGGGGGGGGGCACTCGCCAGGGCAGCTCCGGCTGCCAGCCGAGCCCGAGGAGGCTCGGGGGTTCGGTGGCCCATGGCTGCCCGGCGGTAGCCACACACACCCCCCCTCCCGCACCGCCCCGACAGCCGACGCGCCTCGTCCGGGGTGCGTGTGCGTGGGGTGGGGGGGGTGAGACCGACCGTCTCCTCCTCTCCCGCAGCCCAGCACCAACACACACGCACACACACGCCGCCCCCGCACCGGCCCGGCCCCCGGGCGGGAGGCGGCGCGGGGGCGGGACGGGGGATGCGGGACAGGGACCCCGGTACCCCCGCACCCCGCCGCCCAGCCAAGTGTTGGGGACACAGGACGGGGACCCCGGTACCCCCGCACCCCGCCGCCCAGCCAAGTGTTGGGGACACAGGACGGGGACCCCGGTACCCCCGCACCCCGCCGCCCAGCCAAGTGTTGGGGACACAGGACGGGGACCCCGGTACCCCCGCACCCCGCCGCCCAGCCAAGTGTTGGGGACACAGGACGGGGACCCCGGTACCCCCGCACCCCGCCAACCAGCTAAGTGTCGGGGACGCGGGACCGGGGACCCCGGCACCCCAGCACCCCGCCGTCCAGCCAAGTGTCGGGGACGCGGGACGGAGACCCCGGTACCCCCGCACCCCGCCGCCCAGCCAAGCATCCCGGGAGATAACACCCACCTGTGTCCTGGGGGCTCCCTGCTTGCCCCGGGAGATGGGGAGTAACCGCCTCCGGTGGCTGGAGAGGGCTGGGAATAAAGGAGGCGGGTTAGAAAGGGACGGGAGCTAAAGGGAGAAAAAAATAAATTTAAATAAATTTTTTGAAAAATATAAAAATGCAAAGCAGTTCTCTACCTGCCTCTAATAGTAAATATTCTCCCTCCCTCCTCGCTTTTTAGAATCCTCAAATAAAAGAGAAAACAAATACAGGTGTAGGTTTTAATTGCAATCAGCCTGGTCTCTAAATATCTATCCAATGCCGTTGCTTTCCCACCTACTGAACTGCGTTTTCCTCAACCCGCCTGCCTGGCCCTACCCAAACTCACTCTCGCACATCTTAGAGATATCTTTTCCAGCTGTTCTCTTGTCTCTGTCCTCTCAAAAGTCCTTTTATCGCTTCTCATCACTTCTGCTTATCGGAGCGTTTCAGGCTTGTTTTGGCATTTACAAGGCATGAGGCTGTTTGGGCAGACCCTGAGAGTGTCACTTCTCCAGTGATAACTGCCTGTGTAAGGGGTGCAGTTCCTCATTTCTCTATTATCACGGGTGACATTTCCATTTTTCGTTGTGCTCAGTGTGATACTATGCAATGGGTGTGTTACAATACTCCTAGCGTTTTCCTGTGCCTTGTTTCTTGTATTCCAATAAATTAACAGTTTTCTTTCAAAATTCCAAATGAACTGGGATCTGGTACAGTCCTCCATTGCCAGCTTTTTTTCCCACACCGGAGTAGGATCTCTGGCTTTTTAAGTGGAAGTGTAACTGAAGGTAAAAATGATGATTTTGCTGTTGAAAAAGAAAATTGAATGTGTCTTAAGCAAAATGCATTTACGCGTTATGATTCAGGGCACAAACGCCAAGACAGACCTTCACCACAAGTCCTTACATTCCATGTTGTTCACTGGTGTTAACCCCTTTTTTGTTGTTGTTGTTGCAGCACAATCAAAATCTTTGCACGTCATTCTTAAGCTTGTAGATCAAGTCTTCTAACGATAAGAAAATACTTGACAATTGAATATGGCCTATAGACCTTCTTGCAAGAGATGGATAAGAGAAGGAGCATGTAGCGGATACACTGTGGTGTGGGAGAGGACCTTGGGGGATGTTTTGACACATCTCAGGGCTAGAAACCAGTGCTGTGTTTCCTTTAACTTCTCAGCGGCCATGCCCAGTGCACGTCCAGTACAACCTGAAGCACAGTGGTTGTACACCATCACAGGTCACCCTCCTGCCTGACCCAGCACTTGGCCTGCAGCTTGGCACATCTCATTCCCCAAGGGGAACAAGAACCTCTCCGTGGCCGCCGTAGGCCACTACAACAACCTTCATCCAACAGGCCCCTTTAATGGCTTAGTCTTTTCTTTTAAAAAGATGATGGATTTTAAATGGTTAAGAGGGTGCAGAAGCTCTGCACCATTGCTGTTGCTTTAGACTGTTAATTTTTCATCTGAATGGAGTTTTGAATTTTTAATCCTTAAGACCCTCAGCGGCACACATGGACCACTAGGGAGAAGCTGAAGCCTCTGTCCGGTTGGCCCAGTCACCCCAAATTGGAGACAACCTTCACTCACAAGAGATGTTCCGGTGGTAGATTTAGGCATGCTGTTCAGGTCTCTGGCTTCCAGTGTCCAGGAGATCAAAATCCTGAGCTCAAACAGTGATCCACGAGGGTGTGCTCAGTTGTGAGTGTCCCACAGAGAAGGTGTCAGTGCCAGAGAGCTCGTGTGCCCTCTCAATCAACCTTCAGCTCTTTCCCAAGTCACTCTGCCTACACAGGTAGTCAGTCCCTCATCCTGACCCGTGAAGTCAGTATTATTTCTGTGCACGTTTACTAATAAATCAATGCAAAGACCACTACATAGATGATGTTGTAGAGTGAACACTTCTTTTAGCATGAACCCCTTAAGAGATCTTCCCAAACCACTTAATCAAGTTCAGCACAACAGCAAACATCAATTTATACAAGTTTGCTTTGCTCTGGCAGCTCAGGGTTCAGGGAAAGAGACAACCAACTTCTCTAATCCTAACTAAAGGCTTGATCTGAGTCTGTGAAAAATGCTATGATGTAAAAAGAAAGGCCTTCTTCTCTCTTACCTCAATTTGCCATAGGGTAACTTTGCAGAGTTTCTCCTGAGTTATTCAAATAGAGAGTTGGGCCCTGTGGCGTGTGGTCCCCAGGCTCATCCCAGCAGAAGGGAAAGTTGGGCATGCAGCCTGGGTAAGTGTTTTCACCATACTGCTGGTCTGAATGATGAGTGAACAAAGACTGCCTGTGTGTCCATACATGGAGCTGCAAGTGACCTGAGATTACATTCTCAGCTGTTTACAGCTCTTAAATGCATCTGTAGCCGCTTATTCCAGAGAATCTCTTGGTAGTTTGAAATACTCTGCTAGTCTTACATCCGGTGAATCTGGGAAATAGCTGTTCATTTTTTCCTTATTGCTAAATTCTAATGATTTATTTTGTTTAATAAAACATCAACAAACTTTCTTCCATGTGACATTTCATGCATCATTTCTGATTATTTCAATTTATAAACCTGCTTCTTGTGAGGCATGCTTTTAATCAAGGTAAGCAATTCATGGATAATCTTCTCTCGGAGAAGCATTAACATCAGCTTTAATAAATACGTTACTCAATTACGTGGTATTGATTCTGTGGTGTTAGATGGGTGCGTGGCTCCCCAGCGTGCCTTTGTGCTCCGTGCCAGCACTGAAACAGAGGGACTGGCTCTTTAGCACAACAGCATTTATGGTGGAGGCTGAGCGATGGGGTAGAAATGCTCACAGTATCTATCTACAATGATGCAAACATTTAATTTCGGACCCTTATTTGGAGCAGGCAGGTACTGACAGTCACAAACATACGAATGTCAAGCATTTGTCACTTAGTTTTGGACTGTAATCATTTCCCTACTTTATTATCTGACTGGTTTCTCACCATCCCATTAATTTCTCACCCTGCCTGCGACCAAGTGGCAATATTTTTATTACTTTCCTAATGGCTGCCCCTGTTCTAATTTTACTTTCATCCTTCTTGCAGTGTAAGAGATCCTACAATTGGTACTGGTGTTAACCACTCTCTTGTGAACCCTTCTATGCATAAGGAACTTCAGTTATCAGTCCTAGCAGTATTATCTATAAAACAAATAGAAAAAAACCTCCTTTGTTAATTTTGGCCAATTTTTTGCCCTGTGCTTTGAAAAAAAAATTAATTCATTAAAAGGTTGTGTGGGCAGAAAGGAGAAAAACAGAATGAATCTGTAGTGGCAAGGTCTGGCACGTTCTGAATCAAATGGCACAAGCTGAGCACACATCTGGGACCCGCTTTTCTACATGTCACACCTGTGTCACATAGCTCAAACCAGCTCTCCTTATGTCAGATACACAGATACTATACAGAAAAATCATCATGTAAATACCTGGATGGATTATGCATCTTATTCAACTCTTAACTACAAATCCTTTGTAGTAGGGGTCTGAAATAGCTGCATTAGTGCCGCTGAGGCTGCGGTTTATAGAGCTGGACACAGCTCATGGGAGAGTGGCTCATTAAATCGTCCTAAACAGGTCTGTAACCTGTACATGCTTTCATGCCTCACCTCCCAGCACATCCCCTTGCAAAGGATATATACAGATATATATATACTCAGGGGTGGAAAGTCAGCTATTTCTTAACACAGAAAGACCCAAGGCTCAAGATATGGAAAAAGTAAAAAGCTTTGTCTTGTGGACATCCCAGCAACCATTCACACGTTGAACTAGCTCAGCGTGCAACAAGAAGTGATGTGAAGCTGCAACTCGGCCCTTGGATTCATCCTGGCAACTGAAACCAGCTGCTGACTCTATTTCTCCAAACCCTTACCCAGACTGTCCTTCCTTTTGCTGGTGCTCTGTGTATGCACAGCAGGCTCCCATTGAGACATGATGGGCCCAGGTTTTCTCTTTTGCCTGACACCCTTGCCCACCTACTTAGTATATTTCTCTTTACCATCTGGAGAAAAGAAAATAAATTCCTTTTAAAACCAAGAAGGTATTGTTTTCCCTCCTTGGCATACAGTTAAAGAAATAGCATCCCTCCCAAGCCCAGCATTGCCTCCTTTGAGGTGTGCCTGGAGAGGATTCAGCTCCCTCTCCACCCTCCATGAGGGAGGCCATTTGCCCTGGCCCCGTAGCCTCTGTTCAGGAAAATCCACCCTTTGTTCTTCTGTGGGCACCTTCTCGTTACATCGATGGATCTCAGTGCAAGAACAATTGGTAGCAACCCTCTACAGATGGGTGTTAGGCACCTACATGCTTGTTTTGAATCTGTGCCTTACTGCCTTCTTCCTTCTTCAGATGGTAGCTGGGGGCCAGCTGAGGCCACCGCTCAGCAGGAACTCCTCCTACCAACCCAGTCACAATGGCATGTGCCAGAACAGGAGATGGCTCACACGTACAGAGATACACTCAGAGCACAGGGCTAGTGGAAGTAACAGCTGTGACCTGAGGAACACTTGCCTTCTTCCTGGAGAGGGTGATAGATAAGAAGTGATTGATCCTTCCATATAAAAAAACCCTATAAGACAACAACAAAAAGCCCAGCAGGGACACCAGCTGAAAGCCAAGGCAAAGAAGATGGAAAAAAAAAAAAAAAGCCAAGGAGGAAAACCTCTAAGCAATCTTAAGCAGAACAAAATATGCTGAAATGCAGAAAATAAAATTATTTGATACAAGTAGCAGGAATGAGTAAGCTTTGTTTGGAAACTTGGAAGGGAGGAGGACAAAAACCATTGCTTACTACACATGGCTGGCACTTATGAGTAGAGAAGACTACATTTCCATTTCTTTTTCAGTTGAAGCTATCACTTCCATGGAGGTGGCATCTGTGGGATCCAAGGATGCGTGATGTGATAAGAGGTCCTGACTTTTTGGAGGCAGTCACTGTCTTGACAATCTTGAAAGCCTGAAGTTCTGGGCTGCTGTTGGCTACTAACTACCAAAGTCAAGGAAAATAGGAAAGACAGAGCACTTGGTGCTTTCAAGATCTGTTTGCTGTACAGCTAAAGATTTTGGAAGAATCAAACCTTTTAATATTTGGTTTCTTTTTATTTATTGATGCAGTGGTATGCCAGGAACAATTTGTCACCGAGACTGTAGAAACCCAGGATAGAAAGGGAAGATAGTGCAAGGTGAAAGGGGAGACTGCATTGTATTTTGCAGCTGCAGCACTTGGAAAGAGAGCATCCAGCCATCAATGGAGTTCACTGCTAAATGACAAATACGCTTTGACT